TTTCAGGACTCAGGACCAACTTCTGATCTGCAATATTTTGCAAGTATACAGGGTGGGGCTAAAGTAGGTTACAGTTGTGAGTCCACAAAACACAGGGTTTATTCTTGGGTTATTATTTACTGTATTATTTTCCATCTGAACTGTAAACCTATTTTTGCCCCACCCTGTATTTTGCATATTTTTACAAATAAGCTCTTCCAATTCTATTTTAACTACTGTAGTCACAATAAAATCCCCAAATGAGTGTGGCTTTCCATTGAACTATTTACTTGTATTTATTCCCTTGGAGCAGGTACAACATAAGAACCAGGAGAGTTCCATATATAATATGTACGCTACAGTCCATTTTTATTATTTTTCTTCATTTTGATGAAGTCGGTACTGCTATAACACATAAATATAACACTATCTAACCAACGTCTTGTTTTACGCGGGTAACCAAACACATTATGGCACAGAAGTTTCCCCAAACGCACACTGCTCTACTGTCATAGTTAATGCTCACCTCAAGGGAGCCTCTGAGGGAGCGCCACCGGGTTGGCTGTGGTCGCTTACAGTCTTTATCCCTGCACTCTTTACACAAAGTGCAAGAATGGAATCACAGACTCAGGCTTAGTCTTAAAGGTCTTCTCCAGGTGCCCCCTTTTCACAGGAGCGGGACAGGCGAGGCGCCTTATCCACGCTACGTCACGGCCCGGCTACCCAGCACCCCGGGGACGGCCCCGGGAGCCGCGCCCCCGGACAGGAGGGGCGCGGAAAGCTACTCCCGTCCCTCTGCTCAGAATGACAGGAAATGTAAGAGGCTCACTCACCAGAGCGCTTCACTGAGAAACTCTGGGCAGAGGAGCTGGCACTACAAATTCCCAGCAATTCTTAAGTCTGCTTGTGAAGATAACTGCTGAGAGAAGACTTACCTCAAATCTATCAACTTCTTCAAGACAGAAATTCAAAGCGTAGGGAAAAAGTTTGGGGCAGTGGGAAAAAAGAGGCCTGCCACGGCCATTCACTCTGATACCACCTAAATTAAATAACGTCATAGCCATGCTGCTGGCCCTTGAGTTTCATATCCCTAAATCAACAAAAATGAAAAAAAATCTAATTTAACTGTCATCATTATCTGCTACATCAAGAAAAAGAATCCATATTTCATTCTGATTGCTATCGTTTTAAAAAAACATGTGCTTTTGTTGATTTGAGAGAGGAAGGGAGGGGGGGAGAGAGAGAAGTATTAACGTGAGAGAGAAACACTGACTGGCTGCCTCCCATGGACCAAACCTGAAACCCGGGCACTTGCCCTAAATGGGAATCGAACTGGCGACCTTCCAGACGCTCAGCCAACTGAGCCACAGTCCGCCGGGCCGACTGCTATCTTATTGAAACACAAGACTAATCTCACACGAGCCAGTAGCTCACTAAGGGGCCAAAGGAGAAGGCGCAGCGCACAGCGAGCCCCAGAGCCCGGA